CTCTCCCTCACCTTCTCTCTCTCTCTCGCTCTCTCTCTCGCTCTCTCTCTCTCTCTCATCTTCAATAAATTTCGTTTTTCTTTCACATTTGTTCTTCTGAAACTACAACTCCTTTTCTTCTCCATACTTCCGATCCTCTCTTCAATTTCACTTGAAGTTTAAAGTTGGTATTTTTGTATGTTATTGATTTTTTTTTCTTTTTCTGTTTCTTTCTTAGATTGTATTGGTTCAGCATTCAACATTAAGGGAGCGATGCAATGCCCAAATTGCCGGAAGATTGAAAAAGGTCAATGGCTCTATGCTAATGGCTGTCGGTCGTATCCAGAGTTTAGTATGGATGATTGGACCCATGAAGAGGATCTTTACGATCTAAGCTACTCAGAAATGGTAAGCAATTGTCTTCCATATGATTGATACATGTACCGTTTTGTGTGTCAATGATAATTTCTGATCACAGGCACTTCTACTAAAGAAGAGCAAGTTGTTTCCTTTCACTTTGAAGAATTTCTTCAACAATTTTAGATTTCGAATTTTATGCTCAAAAGTAGTGTTAAGTCCTTGCTGTTGGAAAGAACCCAGTTCCCCCTCCATCGGTACACAAGAAAATTGAAGATTGATATGTTAGGTTGCTTGAAATTTTAAAGGACTTGTTTGAAGTTTTCTGAATCCATTTACAAAGTTGTTGTTTTATAGTCTGTACCAGTTTTTTTTACCACATTATTAGGTAAAATTGAAAGATTTTGCTCTTAAATTATTTTATGATACTGAGATCATTGATGCTAGATTTTACTTAACTGAAAAATAGGTTAAATTACAAGTTTAGTTCTGTTTCTATCTAATAGGTCACAAACTGAACTTTAAAAAGTGTCTGAGTGTGTTTGAGGAAGTAAAAAACCCTAAAATTGTGGGGTACATGTGATATTTTTCTATATAGTATGTAGGGGTACAAACACCTTGAAATTGAACTACACCACCCAATTTTGGGAACAATTAGATATTATAGAGAAAATTGGTATTTGTACCCCTAGAAAAAGATCACCCACAATTTTAGGGTTTTTGAATTTCTCACAAAGGGGTACTTTTATCCCTAAACTGAACTGTGTTTAGGTCCCTGAGGTCCTTGAACTGGACTGAAATAAATAGATCTCACTGGAACTTAAAAAAGTAAAAGTATCAATAGATCAGTCCCTGAATTGGAACTTTTATAAGGTATCTAATAGGTCAGTCCTTGAATGCCCGGAACTGAACTTTATAAAGCATCTAATAGGCTAGCACATAATTGAACTTTAAAAAGGATCTAATAGGGAAGCCCCGAACTGAACTTTAAAAAGCATCTAGGAGGCTAGTTTTTGTCTCTGAACTAAACTTAAAAAAGCATCTAAGAGGCTCAACCCAAACTAAACTTTAAAAAGCATCTAATAGGTCCATCCCGAACTAAACTTTAAAAAGTATCTAAGAGGTCTGTCTCCGAATTAAACTTTAAAATGCATTTAAGAGGTCTGTCTACGAATTAAACTTTAAAATGCATCTAAGAGTCTGTCCTCGAACTAAACTTTAAAAAGCATCTAAGAGGCTTGTTTCTGAACTAAACTCTAATTTTGGAAAATTTCAAATAGATCCATTACCTATTTAGACACAAAATTAAAAATTTTAGGGACCTATTAGGCACAAATAAACTTGTGATTTATCTGAATAAATATCTTATTTCTTTTACATTCGGGCAGGTGTGGGTGCCCTGGGTATTGGGGAGTAGGGGAGTAAAGCTCCAATTTCTGGGGTATCAACAAAAATATATCTTCTTTCTTTTTTCATTGTGATTTAAAAACTTCACAAGTGCACTTATGCATTTGCAACACAATATGTGTAGCAATTAATTAGAATTTAGACCGAGCATGAAAAAAGGGAGAGAATGTGTTTTGTTCTGGAGTCTGGACCCATTTGTTTGTGCATGCTGTGTCTTACTCTCTTTCTTTTCCCTTAATAGACAGGAAATTTGATAATTTTCACCTCCAGTACATCTGTTTCAATAATGATATGTTTTTGCATTAAAAAAGATGAGTTTTCATCTCCTTGGTGTGGTACACATATATATACAGGTTCTTAGCTTCAGGTGTTAATCACTATGCCTACTTTTAGAATGGATTAGGAAGAATTTGTAAACTAGGTCATATAGGTAATCAGAAAAGGTTTATAATTATGAATAGCAGTGCAGTACATGTACAACTACTAAAAAGCTTTTGAACTTTGTCAAGGAAGTTAGGAATTAAACCAAAATTTAAGGTGGGAATTATGGAGAAAGAAAGGTTCTTTACTTCCTCGTTCCTTTCAGGAGGATTAACACTAATGATTTTGTTGAGAGATCCATAGCTCTTATGTTCGGTCCTTAATGGTCTTTTTTTTGTTATTTTGGCGAGAAAGTGCTAGACTTTTGAGATTTCCTTGGCTTTAACTCTTCAGCATCACGAGATGATCAAGGAAATTCTCCTACATCCATCTTTTCGAGAGAGAGGTTGATTATCCATCCAAGCAGAATTTTTATTTTGTGGAGCATTTGGTTAGGAAGCAATAGGAGTCTTTTCAGCATTGAGGGATCTTGGGTGGTGGATGTCATCCCAGTTTAATGCTTCTTTTGGGTCCATACTTCAGGTTGTTTTAAGATTTATCTTTTATTTTTTATTACCAAAAGTTGTGGTTCCTTTTTGTAATTATTTGTATTTTTTTTTAATGGCTTGACGTGTTGGGTTGGCTGAAATTTTGTGGCCTTCTTTGGCAGTTCCGTATATCTTAGTTAAACCAGGTTTTATCATTTAAAATGGAGTCTATTAAGTTAGTAAACCATTATCATTAGTTATCGATTTGAAATGTACTCTAGGCTGGTGCTCATAAACAACATGCTTCACTTCCTTGTGCTACTGATTCACGGTTAACACACTGAGTTTTTTAATAAGTTATGTTTATATTTATCTGGCAGGAATTCATATACATAGGATTTTCTAATGAGTGAATGACATGCTTGTTTACTCAATAGTATTTAGTTTTCTACTCCAAATTTTAATTGGAATTTGGTTTGTTGCAGGCCTTTGGAGTTCAATGGTGTCCTTTTGGCAGCTTAGCTCGACTTCCTTCTTCTTTTGAGTAAGATTTTATTCTTTTTACTCCGTAAAGATCATTTGAGTGATAATTTATGCTTCTATGTTTACGTTGATGTCTTCTTGGTTCTTTTTATATTTTTATGAGAAACGGAGCTTTCATCAAGTGAAATGAAAGAATATGCAAAGACATATGAAAAACTAGCCCGACCAAAGGAGGTGAACCTAAAGAAAGGAGATCCAATCCAAAGAATAACATGTAATTTATAATTACAAAAACCTTAGAAAGACCCCAAGACGTATAAGCATTAAATCTAATAAGCTCCCATACATACTCCCTGGATCTTGCAATCCCTCGAAGATTTTATTGTTTCTTTTGAGTCAAATTCCCAACAAAATTAGAAAAAAAAAGTCTGGCACAGAAACATTCCCTTATCTCGAAAGGGAGAGAATAACAAAACTTCCTCCATCGTAAGGCAAACGACAGGGGAGGGGAGGAAAGAGCTGGAGCTCATTGAGAAGTCTAAGGGCTTGAATAGTTATATGGTTTTAATTAATTAAAATATAAGTATGTATGTGAATGGTCACCGAGCTTGTAGTTTTTTTTTTTGGCGGGTGTTGTCTCATCTATTGTTCCCCAATAAATTCTGTTGAGGACTACCATCTGTGCAATACATTTCTCATTCTCATTCTCCTTTTTCTTTCTTCTTTTTTGGGGGGATTAGAAAAGTTCACTGATGATGTGAATGAAGAAAAAACTTCCGAGGAGTTACAAAATAGGCATTTCAATTGGAAGAAATTAGAGGGAGAACAAATACTAAATTCCACCTTTGGGAAAAAGAAAAAAAATAAAGAAAAATAAATTCCCTAAATAGAGAAATCCATAAGGAAGCATTCCAAACAATAGCATCCCATATTTTCTCCCTATGTCAAAATCTCTTGAAAAGTACTATGCTCAAGCTAAATGTTCCAGAAAGTGGTAGCATTAGATTATAAGACCCTGGCTTAGTCTTTTAACAAAGAGCCATGTAACAAAGGGTGTGATCTTTGGTGCACTGAGTTGGGAAGGGACAGAATCATGTTGAAGCACTGAACCCGGAGAGATCAAGGGCAGGTCCAAAAAAATGATTACAACTCTCACTTCTATTATTACAGAGTATACACCAGCTCGTTTGGAGGGAACAATTTGGACATCTACATTGGACTTTATCATTGGTGTTGAGACTGCCACCTTTTAGAAAGTCCATAAAAATTCTTTTTCCTTCTTGGGATATCTTTCTTTCCTATAGAAGCTTGGAGGATGGCTTTAGGGAGATCACCAGCACCTCATGAAGTCTTCAGAGAGAGAGAGAGAACTCGCCAGAAAGGCCTTCAAGTTTTCAAGATTTGATACTATGTTTATTAGTAATGAGGGATTGTCCATGAATATGGACTTTCTAAGATTTAAAATAATAATCTTTTGATGTTTCAAAAGGAGTCATGTGGATATGTGTAATTTGTGTTAAATTAGTTTCAAAAGCAATCTTTAAGAAGTATAACGATGTGGAAGTATATTTGTGAGCATAATGATAAATTGATAATGATGGTAGGTTGAAGTAAAGCATTGAAAACTGAATATTTATGGCAGATATGGATAGACTAGACATGGGAACAGGTCCTCTTTGGTTCCTTTTGTATTTGGTAAGTTTCAGTCCTATCATGTGTCTTTGCTTGATGTATTTTGCTTGTATAGAGGGAATTCAGTGTTGTTTAATGGGATGTGCTTCTTTTGGCATGCCATCTAAGATTATCTCTGTCTTCCATGGATTTTATATCTTGCACATGACCTATCATGTATATATATATATATATATTTTTGATAATCGTGAATCTCCGAGCTAGCTTGCGCACACCTCGACTAATCTCACGAGACAATTGCATGACCCAACTACATTTTTTTGTAAAGGAAACTCATAGAATATTAAATCCTACGTAGGTAGCCACCATAGTTTGATCTCATTCCCTCTAAATTCTTTAGAATTTACCTGAACCATTTTGGACTACCAAGTCAACCCATGACCTATCATGTAATTAAGTAACAAATTTTTATTTATAATGCTAGTTTGTTGCATTTTCATAGTAGCCAAACAAATGTGTTGATTTTGAAGACTTATCTTTCTTTTATTTGTTAAATCTCACTTTGTTGTCGTTTATATTTTGGATCCTCATTAATCATCCTTAATGGGTGCCATAGAGCTTCTCCCGCTTTGTACAATATGGTATGAACCTTTGGTTTGCAAGAACACAAAAGTTGGACAGCTTATAATAGAGTTTCTATTATAATCATTTGGGAAGTCTCGCGGAGGATGGCTGCCCCACAATTCTTGCAAACTGATGGAGAAGTGTCTGGGTAATAAGCATCGTATCCACGTAATACTAGACTTTATACTAGCCTCTCATGCTCTGTTGTACATCCAAATCTTAGCCATCTCCTAGAATGTTTTTCAGGTTTCAAAAGTTACTTGAGTAGATCAAGATGAAAATGGGATAATACTAGACTTTATACTAGCCTCTCATGCTCTGTTGTACATCCAAATCTTAGCCATCTCCTAGAATGTTTTTCAGGTTTCAAAAGTTGAGTAGATCAAGATGAAAATGAATTCAGGAGTCCTAGGACGTACTCATCCTGGAGAGGGCTAGCTTTTTTTGTTTTTTTCTTGGCTCCTTTCTTTGGCTTTCCCCTTTTTGTATTGCCTAATGAAAGTTTGTTTTCTCATTAAAAAAAATAGAGAGAGACTAGAGAGGCAAAAATATAGAGAGGCGAACAGAGGATAGCCCTTGCAAACGCCAATCAAGGAGAATGAATGGCTCAAAAATCAACTTTTCCCTATCTGACTCATGAAGTTGCTTGTATTGTTGTAGAACAAGTGGTTATCTTAACGTATGAAATGAGCAAACTCGAAAGCACTGGGAGGGGAGGGAATTACATGTCAGGTCTTGCAGTGCACCCCACTCTGAAGGAAATATTTTTTTTAACAATAAAATTTTTTTTGCCTACCTCACAACATGTTAGGGAAGAAGAGCCTTTTCCTTTCTCTAGTGATCTCATTCTCATCAACAATATAGGACGACAACGACTGCTGAGTATGAAGAGATTGATGTGTATATTTTGAAGGAAACGGAACTTCTCATCGATGAACAGAAAAAATACAAGAGAGTAACAACAAATACATGGGAAGAAAAAATTGCAAAAGTTACACGAACTCTGCACCCAACAAGCTTGAAAAGACGAGTCTAAAAAGCTGTAGTAAACTTTACGAATGACAGCTGCCTAAATTAAAGATTTATAAACTTGACAGCAATATGCTCCACTTTTCCAAGAAGATGCAAAACCTGAAGACCAGAAATTTCGAATTCCAGAACAAGGCTACCAGCAAGAAAATCCCCCAAGATCCTCTAAATTTTCTGGAAGATGGAAGCAAAACAACTTGAGAGAAACATTTCCAGCAAGAGGAAAAGTATATGGGCTGTTGTGTGCTGCTAGCTGGCAGAAAATGCAGATTTTTTGTTTTTGCGATTAGAAAATTACTTTCATGGTGTTTAACCTTTTGGATGATGGAAATTTCTTGCCTTTTTTACTGTTGTGATGTGAAGTACAGCATCTTCTCGAGGTCTTGAATCTTTTTCATTTTTTACCTTTTCAGGGATGGTGACTTTTCTTCAACTGCTTGTAAGATTTCCCTTCCCTGAAATTATTGATTCATTTTGTAGCTTCAGTTTGGGGAAGCAAACAAAATTGACTAGGTTGGTAATGTTGTGATGCAGATCATGACCTTTTGGGGCAACATGCCATTTTCGCCGAACATACAGCCGTGTCGTCTGCCACTCATCCTTGCCCGTATATTGCTTACTTTGGACCCATCCATCCATCTTCATCGAGTTCAAGTGCTTCAGAAGCTTCTAATTTCAGCAATCATTGGAATGGCCCATCAGTACCTAGTGAAATGCCATCATCTTATGCATTTCCTGCCGTGGATCTTCATTACCAAAACTGGGAGCATCATTCTCCGCCGCCCTTCTCCACGACGAACAATCGTGTTGCTGGTGCTGATCAGCCATCGGTTGCATCCGTTGCCCAAAGATCTGCTACCAGAGTCGGTTCCGAATTACCAAGATCTGGAAGCGTAATGCACCCCTTCCTTGTTGGTCATAGGTATGTCTCAACGTTAATTGGATGTAATATATTTGTCTGCCTCTTTGTTGTGGAGGCACTTTTCCTACCCCAAGATGGAAAAGTCGTTTACTATTTGGTGGGTTGTTGGCAAGGGAGGGATTCAAACCCTGACACCGTCGTTTCATAGTTACCTGTACCACTTAAAATGTTTGCCTGTTGTAGGAGTATGACTTAATTTGGAAGAGAAATGGTCTCTTGCTCTTTTCTCTGACAGAGAGAAACACCTTTAACTGAAACTAATTCTCCTTTTTACCATAGAAATAATGGTGGCATGTGAATATGATCCTCCTTTTGATTCGTGCAGCTCCGGTGCAAGAGTCGGAAGCTCAGTCGCTTCCTCAATGATTCCTCCCTATCCTGGCAGCAATGCACGTGCTCGTGATCGAGTCCAAGCTCTCCAAGCATACTATCAACAACAACCCAGCACTACAGGAACCATTCGCCCACCTGCAATTTCTGGTGCCAGAAGATCCAGTAGTCACAGAGGGCTGTCACAAGCACCCATGGCCTCATCGTCTGACCAACCTAGCGGCTTCTACTTCTACTCATCAGCATCATCGGGTCGTAATTTCCAACAAGAAAGCGGCATGCCAAATCGCTTTCACGCGTGGGATAGAGATCACTTGCCTTCATTCGGGTTGAGCCAGATGGAGAGAGATCCAGGTTGGGGAGAGATTCATCAGGGTGCAAGTGTTTCCGATCCAAGCATCAGGTCTAGAAGCTTCCGTCAAAGGCATGGTTCTGAGAGGACATCATCGCAGAACTGGTCATAGGCCAACCATCCCATTTACTTATCTTTTTCCGGTGAAGCAAAAACTATCACTATGATGACTCGAAACTGAAATTTATGTAATGATTGGGATGATATGTAATGGCTGAGTCTTTGATGTGTCGATAGGACTCTAAATGCTGTGAAAGCAGCCGATAAAAGAATGCTTGTTTCGGGGCTGCCGATGTGGTCAGTGTGATGATGGACATGGCTTCCTTGAGTTTGTCTGCCCTGGAGGGTTTACAGAATAACACTATGAATTGGATGGCAATGCCTAAGAAAGATTTGTAGGTCACAACCTTCCTGTATCCATCCAATTCATAAAGATGTTTGGACTTGATTTGGGTGCCTCCAGAGGGTCAGATTATTAAATTTGGTAAATGTATTCTTGAAGTGATAGTTGAAAATATTCAGTGTTTATTTGTAAACAATGAAATGTGATGGTTTCAGTAATGTATGAGCAGGCCCAGCTTTTGGTTTTAGATTCTTGAGATACATATATATGGGATATCCCTTGTGAACACTCAGAATTTTGCCTTTTTCTTTTCATGTGTTGTTTTGAGAAATCAACTCTTTTAGGATGAACTCATAGGCTTCAAATTTGAGGGATATGCAACAACTTTGCGGGTTCTATTTATTTTGAAATTTGCAATGATAAGAAATAATTCAACACACTTAAGTAATTTAACTTTGATATATCTTAATGAATGTAACTTAATATATCACTTTATGTTGAATCATCAGTAGTGTTGAGTTGGTTCTTGTCAGTGTTAATATTACAATTTATTTTGATCACGTACATGAGCCTGGAGGATTTGATTTGATTTGATTTTAGACCAATGAAATTTAAGTTTGGAAGATGGTTAAAATAATAACCACAGCTAATATTATGAAAATTTCTGTTGGGTTATACGTGCTTCGGAAAATCAACAGAAGACGGTGATGATTAATTTCTTCAAGAAAGTTGTGGATTTCCAGGCCAACGGTGAACCCTCATTTTAACTTCAAAGATAAACATAAAGTAGATTAAAGAGAGAATAATTAACTCGTTATAATTTTGACACCAAAAGATCTGGAAGAATCACATTTTCAAGCTACAAATACAATCTAAAGTGAAATAACAGAAAACAAGTGCACAATACAAAATACAATAGAACCACAATACAAATCCTCCAAATATATGAAAACCCAACTCTACTTTCTCCTACGCTTTTCCTAACCACACCTGACAGCCATCACATGAACAATGTCCTATTCCGAATATCGGTCCCTCGACTCGACAGATAGGCCTCGACTTCGGCTTTGATCTGATCTTGCCTGTTCAATTCAAATTCACGTTCGTTATTACCTGTTAAATAAAAACTTCAGGAATAAATGTTATCTTAGTTTATAGAAATATGTTTGTCTGAACCAGTATAACTACATTAGGTGAAAGAGATCGGGACAGGCTCCTGGAATTGGAACGAGATCTGCTCCGGCTTCGAGGTTTGCTCTCCCGATGACGCTGCAATTAATGGAACCATGAGAAACAGAAAAACAAGTCCTTTCCATGCACTTAAGCCAATCTAGAGAAAGCAGAAGGCTTTTAAATTCAAATCCCAACTTACAGATGAAATTGGTGATCTTGATCTTGATCTCGACCTAGACCTGCAATCAATAAACAAAAGAACATCAAGCATCATCAGGATTCTGAGTCTACAGCTATAAGTGCAAATACTGCCTTCCACACACAGCAGTGAAACCAATAGTAGAGTGGCTTTTG